AATTGAGATTGGAGTGTCAGAGACAGTGCGATTGGCACAGGACAGAGCGGAGTTTAGGGCTGTTGTACATAGGGTCGCTATGAGTCGCAGGCGACTTGACGGCACATAACAACAACAACAAATGGGATTGAAGTACTGCTGGAACCCTAGGAGCTGGACAGTGAGAAAAGTGAGCCGGGAAGGAAGTCCAGAGACAAAGGACCGGCTGGACTTACGTACCTCCGGGTGGTGTGACTCCTGCAGGCGCTCGAGATGACCAGGACTAACTCTTAGCAATCATGTTTGCTACTACAGAGTACTTGCACTTGGAAAGAAAATTTCTGAAGCTGAGTGATTAAGCAGCTCTGGTGAGGTACACATCAGGTATTATTGTTGTTAGGTGCCATCAAGCCAGGTATGACTCAAAGTGACCCCAAGAACAAAAGTTCTGAACCCTGTATGTCCATTTTCACAGACACACGAGCCCATTGTAGCTGTCACCGTGTCAGTTCTACCTCGTTGAGGGTCTTCCTCTCCTTCGCCAACCCTCCACCCTTCCCAGAATCATGTCCTTCTCCATGGAATAGTCCCTCCTAGCAACATGCCCAAAGTATGTGAGATGAAGCCTCATCATTCTTGCCTCCAAAGAGCACTCCAGCTGCATCCTCTCCAGGACGTACCTGTTCATTCTCTTGACCATCCAGGGAATGAATGTTCAGTGCTCTTTTCCAACACCATAGCTCAAAGGCATCAATTCTTGTTGTCACCCTTATTCACTGTCCAGCTCTCAGATGCATAGCAAGTGATGGGCGGCGTCTATAGCCTGAATCAAACGCACCTTTGTCCTCAAAGTGACATCATTACTCAATAATTTAGAGAGGTCCATAATTGCAGTCTTTCCTAATCTCCTGATTTCCTGACTGCTGGTACCAAAGGTGTTAACTGTGGATCCAAGCAAGTTGAAGCTGTTGTCAGTTTCAATCCATTATGCTGCCTATTGGTCCAGCAGTAAGAATCAGTTTTCTTGACACTGAGATGCAATCCTTACTGAAGGTTGCATTCCGTGATCTACAAGTGCTTCAAATCCTCCTCACTTTCAGCAAGCAAGGTTGGGTCATCTGTGCAACACAGGTTATTGATCAGTCTCTTTCCAATCCTGATGGCACACTCCTCTATGTAAAGTCCAACTTCTCGGGTAATTTGCTTGGCATACAGACTGACTAGGTATGGAGAGAGAATACAACTACGACACACTCCCTTCTCAACTTTAAACCATGCAGTGTCCCCTGGCTGTTTGCACAATAACGTCCGGTCCAGGTTATAGGTTCCACATGGCACAATTAAGTGCTCTGGAATTCCCATTTTTCTCAATGTCAGCCAAGTGTCAAGTGCCTCTGCATAGTTCTTCTTAAGTTCAGCCAGGATTCATGTGACATCAGCAGTGACTTTAAGGAATACCACCAGGTAGTAAGTCTACTAACAAGGTGGTTCATATTCATGCTGTAGATGGCTTCCTCTCAAATTTATATCCCTGGAAGCCTGACAGACTGTAACCACCAGTCAGAATCTAGAGACAGCAATGGTATTTACCCTGATAGGTGGGGGAGGAGGGACTGACCTCCCTAAAGAAGGTTCAATACTACCTGTGACACTTCTCAACTGGGTAATGGGAATAGAAACTGATTTCCAGTGGATAGAGGCCAAGTGCTGATAAAGAATCTACAAAACTGTCCCCTCCAATATCAAAATGACCCAGTGGCTGAGGTTGAGATACCGTCTAGAACGATGGGCATTCCTGTTGCCAGCTTTACGTGACAGAATGCACGACAAAACATGCATCATTCTAACACAGATGGTTATGTTCTGACCTCGAAGTCTGAACAGACTCATCGCTGACCCCTCTAGCAGGTTTTCAGATGCTTAATCACACAGGAGACTGCCCACCTTTCTCCCATACAGCTACTGGTGGGTTCGAACCATGTGCCTTCGGGTTGGCAGCGAAGCTTCTTATCATTAGGCCATCAGAACTCTCTAACCACTCCTAGTATTACTCAAGTGTTTCCTTATCCTGGGTAATCCAAGAAGCAGACACGCCACACAAGTTCTTTCAATCAGAATATGAATCTGTTCCTTTATTAGAGTGCTCACATTAGTGAACGGCACATCAGCATCACTGCTGGTGTGAGAGGATGGACCTGACGCACGCCGTGGCCGGCAGTGAGTGTGAGGGCTCCCAGTACTCAACAAGTGTTCACTAACAAGTCTCCAGTCACCAGAGAGGTCTCCTTGATGTGACCACCTGTGGCAGGCTCCAGGCC